CTCCCTGAAAACAGCAGTGTGGAGTACTACTTAGTATGATCAGGGGTATCAGCTTAATCCTTTGGGTAACTAAGCCTTAAAAAAATAATAGAGATGACCAGTACAGAATATTAATTTTCTTTTCAGATATCTCCATCTTCTGAAGTCTTCTGTGCCCACTGCTATCTGTTCTATTTTGTTCTTCACTTTCCTCCTATTGATGCTCTTAATACCACCCAACAGACTTTAAGGCTGCCGCTGTTCTTTTAATCCAAACTCCAGCTACAAGCAGCTGTTCTGTAGGCAGACTTTTTTTTTATTAACTTTGTTAGGAACTGTGCCATATCATATTACCGTCTTCTGTTCCTGGCCCGTGCAGCTGTAGTCATTGCTTTCCACAGAAGTCTTTACAGAAAGCCATAACTTCTCTCTTTTCTCAGTAGATTTTTTTTTGTGTGTGTCCTTTGCTGCCCTTAGGTTATCTTTGCATTGTGAGTAAGATTTTTTCTACCAAGTATTTCTGTTGATTTAAACCAATTCCACTGGCCCAGTTCAACTTCATCTGAGTCTTTGCACAGTCCTGGTGCTTTTTCTACCAGGAATTTCCTTTCATTCAGGTTCTCAAATAAAAACTTAATCTCAGAGCAGTCCACCAGCTTTGGAAGAGCTGATTAGCATTGCAGTCAGATGAGCACAGGAAATCAGGGCCAAGATCCGTGAAAGTAACTTCTATTTAGGTGCTTAGCTTCCTGTCAACTTCAGTGGGAGTTCAGGCACATAAATAGGTTTTAGGAGCTTAAAATCCCATGTGGATCTGGCTTCAGGCACTTTTTGTTGGAGTTTGGCCATCATGTGAACATGGTGGATGAACCTGAAAATACCTTATTCCTCCTCCAGTCCAGAAACTGCGTTCAACAACATTTCACAGACAGCCTCTCTGCCAGCTTCTTGGCTGTCTTTCAGAAGCTGAATTAAAAGCTATTAAATGGAAAATGATAGAGTCTGTTGCACCAAAAATTTCAGACTTTGAAAAACTCCCTACTCCTAGAGCTAGCTGAATTATAACAAATACAATATATTTCCATAGGGAAACACTGTCAGATATATGATGATGATACTTAAGGCGTCCTACCTGTGATTCCTGGGAAATTTAAATACGTGATTAGCCCTAGAATGCCAGCTATCTAGTCAGAGCACAGTCCTAGACAATTAGTGTCTTACACCACCACAAGCACAGCCTTTTTCATGCCATTTCTTTAAGTGCACCTTTCTGGAAACTAGGAATAATAATAAAGTTCCTGTTAGGCACATATCAAAGCAGCAGTGTATAAGAGCAGATACATAAGTATTTGCTACAGTTCCAATTTAATCTGAAAGAATAATTGACAAAGATGCAATTTTTGTCTTTGTTTTTAGTGTGAACAGTGATCACTTCATCATAGTTGAGTCATGTTTAGAAAATTTAAACAAGCTGCGTGATTACTCTAGGAAGCATGGAATGGTTTGTTCAAATCAGTACCATCTGTGGACAGAAAAAGTTAGGGGAATTTTAGTCATTCTTGAGGAATGGAAATCTGATTCTCCATGCTAGAGTAATTGTAATCCTCTTTGTATCTGTAACCCAAGAGCATAGTTGTCTTGAAATTGTCTCATTGAACACAATCAAGTGCAAGAGACACTGTGCCTCTGGGTGTCACTGCTCCTCACTGCGGTCCTCAGAGCAAACCTCTGATTTGCTCTGGATTCAGATCATCTTTTCATTTCTTCTAATAAAGGATTACGTTTATATTTTATTTGTCTATGTAAGCAATGAGATAGAACGGTCTAGATTTAAACTGACTAATGGTTAAGGCTCTGATACCATTTTAAAGACCTGTCTAAGCACTGACAGAGAAAATTTTCCTACATCTGCCAACTGACCCTTTCTTTTGTAGGTTAGAAATATTTTGTGTATATGGGGCTTAGTAAACTGGAAAAATGATCGTATAAAATAGAAATAAAAGCTTTTTGTAGGAAAGAAGAAATTCTTGTCTAATCTGTCTGTTACCTTTATACCTGCAAGCTTATCTTTCAAAATGGTGGTTTTCATGTAATATTACTCACTGGGATGATCACACAGATTATCTTCAGCCTTGTGACAGTAATTTGTATGGGTTCCTTTTGGAAAAAGGACACTTCTCTAGGGGACAGATGAAAAGAGAAACATAACTTTCCTGCACCCCATTCTTTCCCCTGCTCTTTGGGAGTTTGTCCCTTTCCACCAAATACAAGGAGGGCTCATGGAGGCTGGCTTTCTTAGACTTTTGTTGTTCTCTGTGAGAGCCCACAAATCAGAGCCACTGTTATTTTTCCTGATATCATTTCTAGTTCTATGAAACTGCCAAGCGCCTTTTCCATGTTTACTGCAATGTTGCTGAAACTGAAAACAGTTTCATCCATGCTGAAACTGGGGGAACAGCTGAGAAAGAAAGCCCACCATGCTGGCTAGAATATGGGCACTGCTCTTTCTGCCTGTGACTAGCTTCTTTAACCTGCTTTGTTTTAGATGCAAAGACTACAGTTGTGCTGGCCATGGCTCTACCAGCTGCATATTTGAGCAAGTGAAGGTATATATTTCCACCTTCCTCTGGGCACCCAGCACACAACCACTTACTATCCACTGTATTCCAACTCCTTATTTCAGTATTTGATCCAGTCTTTCATTTAAATTGGAGTATAGTCCAATAATCAGTTTTCAGCAGACGAAGTTAGTAATGGTAGACTAAGAGGTATTAGAGCCAATTGTTTCCATCTCCATATTGCTTACTTTCACACTTTTATACCAAACCTACCAATGCTGGCAAGAATTCCTGGAGTTGTGTGCATGGGAAGGTGAGGTGAGGTCATATTCCTTGTCTAAAAAAGAGTAATCCCCTCTAAGTGAGAAGGAGGAGAATTTAATTTTCTTGAATTCTTTAAAGTTTTATCTGTTCTGATGCCTTTGGCATTGTTGACTCTTAATTTTTTAATTCCTGGAATATATAGTATTCAGTCTTAAAAATACTTTAATTCAAGTTCAGAGTGAGACTGGGTGGTAACTATTTCAGTCAAATAGTTTAATCCATTCTATCTCACATCTTATCATCATCATAACTGAGTGTGTAAGATTCATATTCTTTGCAGTATCTTAACGGATATTAACAACTTATGTTACAATAAGAGTAGATTTTTTTAAGGAAAAATACTGATTTTTTTTTAAATAGTAACCATTGAACATTTCTCTGCCTTTATTTTCCATTAACTAATGGTCAAACTAGGCCCCTTCTTGTAATTTACACAAGTAGTAAATAGATTTCATAGAGCTATTATGAAAATATTGCAGTGTTTATTTTTTTGAAAGTGGACAAAGTGAGTATTACATCTCCAAAACTCTGATCAAGCAAGGAGGTTACTTCCTGTTTTGTTTATATTTACCACTTGCTTTATTTCTCTTCATGCTAATAACAGCAGAGCAATGCAACTTTAATTTTGATAGTATGGAGCATGATGATGAAAGTTGTCTTTAGTGAAGATTTTTTTCTTAGACAGTTTGCTCTTGTTCTGTGTCTGCTTAGTGTGTAGCAGGGTGGGAGCACATGGGACTATTGCACGTTGTGATGTTGTGTAAGCATGCGTGAGAGCTGAGCAGAAGGACAGGGGAAGCGCCCACGGTTCCTGTGCCTGGTCCCTCCCCTGCAGGCTCCACCTGCTTTGGACTCCTTTCAAGAGACTTCAATTTCTCAACCTTTTTATTGTCACAACTTAGTTTGGCTCAGAATTTAAATTTCTTGTTAAATATTCGTATTTAGTGGAGAGGCTTCAGCTTGTTATATTATGATGATTTTGATAAACAGATTGTTGCAGATGAAAGCAGAGATCAGATATTCCCACAAGGCTGGAAAAAAAAAAAGAGGGTTTTCTCTTTCTTCCCCAGTAATGTTAGTCTGGGATCCTTTTATTCTTTATGTAAGCCTTGGGGCTTCTTCAGTTTCAGTTTGAGGATGTATCATGTGTTTTTCTTTTACCAGCGATACTTCTTCCCCCAAAGACTCTAAAGCACTCTTTAAAGCTAAGTGCACAAAATGATTTCTGAGCTGATTTCTCTGCACAGTTTTTGCCACAGACAGTATTAGCATTATCTTACAGAGTCTTTAGAGATAATATTAGTTTACTGTATGACTATGTGATATAGCACAAAACCATATGTTGCATCCAGTCTGTGAGAGCTAGGACTACACTGTTGGCTTAATATAGATAAGGATAAATGTATGGGCATGTGTGTATACGTGTTTACGTACATCTATGCACTACTTCTGTCTTTATGCACATGAATATAACCTGTGTATACCCACATATATATACATATATAGATGCATGGAAACAAGGTTTATGGGGAGTTTCTTTTTTTGCTTTGTATTGCCATATTATTTACCTCTTCCTGCTAGCATTCTTTTAATTTGTTGTTTACTGAACTGCTTGTAAGCACTTATGTAAAGATAAAAAAACATAGTGCATGTATTGATAATTTTCATTCAGAAGGTGAAACAGGACACTTACGAAACCTTGAGGTGTTGCCTGAGAATTTCATATGTTACTGAGAGGGAGACAGATTATAATTTCTAAGTGAGAGGTGAGGAATCCCAGTTAGCAACAGCAGTAAAAGATGCTATGGGTAGGCCAAAAATAACTTAGCTTGATATTCCCTCCCCCAGTTGAGACATAGCCCCAAATGTAGCAACAGCAATGTTACACCTCTCAAAGCTGCCCCTGCATGCCATGCCTAGAAGTATTTTTCTTTATTTCAAAAGCTATAGTAAATGTATGCCACCTATATATGTGCAGTGTGATTTAAACCAATGGAATTACTCCTTATTAACCATATGAAATTAAATCTTGGTCTTTAGACATGCTTATTAAAATATTTTTTCAACACTGAATAAGAGTTATATGTGAAATCACTTTTCATTCAAATAAATATATCTTACAGGCATTTTAATTTGCAGTTCCTAGTGCTCCCAGGGATATTGTTTTTTCCAATGTGCAATCAACAAGCGTGACCTTGAATTGGAGATCACCGAAATCTATCTTTGGCTACTTTCAAAACTACAAGATTACCACACAGCTCCAGTCCATCCACTGCAGTGACTGGGAAACCAAGGAATGTATTGAATCTGAGATGCAACAACATTTATATGAAAATGTGGTGGATGACCGGATAGAAGAGACAGTGTATGGACTGAAAAAATACAGATGGTACAGATTTGCAGTTGCTGCCAGTACAAATGTTGGCTATGGCAGTTCTTCACCTTGGATTTCTACGCAAACACTTCCTGGCTGTAAGTAAGGATGTTTGCCATGCTTGCCATGTGTTGTAATGCTATAACAATGTCATGTTCACCTGCTTAACCAAGAACACTTGGTAGAAGTTATTTCTTCATAGACCTACACAATATTGGTGAAATTAATAAGGATTTATTGCAACTCTTCACATATGAAGTATCATAATATAAATCATGTGGTATGCATACTTGACACTACTTCCAATTTTAATGTCTTTTGAATGCTCTCCTATATTTACTGCTTACCCAACAGCAATTTCACACCTCAGCCTTATTCCACATCTAGAACTGGTAAGTCTGAATTTTGGCTACCTTGGGTTGATTTTCAATGAAATTTTTGGGGATATTTTCAGTCATGTTGGGCATGTGGTACAGCCACCTATCCTTAAATAGCTCACAATTTTTCTACTAGGTAAGGAAATATTGTCATCTTCATTTACATATGAGAAATTGCATTAGAGAAATTCTAAGTCCCAAAGGGCAAAGGGATTTGGACACCACGACAGTGAACATCACAAGAGCCCATTTTTCACATAAAGCACAGAAACAGTCCTTTGGACTGAGAAATACTGGAATCATCTGCAGAGTCATTCTTACATGCACTTACATTCTTTGTCCAGTGTTTCTTATAGGGATGCTATGCCTGTAAATTAATGCAACATTTTAAGTGAAAGGGAAAAAGAACCCCAAACATATAACCCCAGGTGGAGCAGAAAATAGCTAACAGAATTTGTGCATCTCTTGAGCCAACAGCTCTGGCGAGATTTCTTGCTGTTAGATGGATAGATCTCAGCTGCTGACATATGCCAACACTTATAAAAAAAATTGTTACCGAGTTTAGGAAAGTTAGGGGTTTAAGCTGGACAGAGAGCCAGATAATCAAAACACATACAATCACATAAAGAGAGGATTCTCTTTATGAATTCCTCTCTGGACAGTGATAACTTAGTTTAGGAGAGAACTAGTTTCCTATCAGTCCCACGGAGGAGAGGTAAATCTCACTAGACTGCACAAGCCCATTCCATGCCAATACAGGGTCGTTCCCAGCAGTAGGTTCTCTGTGTGCTCTATTAGCTACTTTAACAAACAGTGATGGGGTAGAAGTTAAAAAAGTTACACCAGTTCTTCCAGCCCAAGTGTCTGGGGCTGCTAGCGTTTTTAGCCTGTGGCTATGGTGAGGGAAGTGGGCAGCAACAAATTTCCTGTGAGCTGGATCAGTGACACATCAAGAGATGAGCTGCCTGTAAAACACACTGCCATGGAGTCCAGGAAGCATAGGCACTATTCCGGATGTCGTGGCTGGGTGCTGATCTTTCCTGGGGTAATGGCAATCAGCTGAGGAGGGAAAAAAAGAGGAACGCGACATGTCACAGCTGGGTAGCCAGCTGGAAGCTGCAGCATGCTTCATTGCTGCTGGGAGCCTCCCTGAGCAGCAGCTGATACTTAGCAAGGGCAGGTCTCTAGCTACCTGACCTTATACTTTCCAAAGACTAGTCTTCAGAAATATTGTTAAACAGACTAAAAAACCTTAGTTTCTCCCTTTCTTTTGCAAAGGGCACTGCCTGTAGCAGGGGAGAGAAATTCAGGATGCACAAAAAAGTGACCCGGCACTCTGGTTAGCCTTGTGGAGTGTATCCAGAGAACAGGTGTCGAACCCCCTCTCCTTTCCTTCGTGGACAGGGCCAGGCATCCTCTGGATTAGCCTGCTGGTACACAGCCAATATACATGGTCTGTTAGGGCTTAAGGGTGCTTAGCTGCTATGTAAAATACCCTGAGTACTTAGCCTATAAAATCAATGGGAGTAGTGTTTGCAGATTTGAGGGCAGAAGTTAGCCCTGTTTCTGATTTTCAAGAAATGCTTCTGTAAGACATTGCTTCCACCAAAGGAAAAGTTACTTTGGTTGTGAAATAATAGTCAAATTATTTTTCTTCAGAAATAGTAAGGTTCTCAGAAATTTGTGTTTCTCTCAAGCCTAAAGAAAATATTCCAGGTATTATGCTCGTATTCAGGAAGGTACAGAATTTTAGCTGGAACTGTTAAGACTCATTTCCCAGAATATAAGGAGAGGAAACTTCAACAACAGCAAAAATTATATAACAGAAACCCTAAATATTCTTCATAAGTGCTGAGGATTTGAGTGTTGTCATAAAGCAGAAATACCTACTAGTTCTGAATATCCAGTGGCTAAGGTGAGGATCTTAGTTATTTCAGTTGTTCATTATGAAGGTAAAATTAAGACTACAGAAAGTCTTTTTAAGATTCTTTAGCTCATTTGCAAGCTTCAAACAAAAAATCACAGCTGTGTTCTGTACTGCAAGTGGTTATGGTTTTACTCTGTGGAAAATGTGATAGGTTGTTCAGTACAGTCAAGTTCTCACATCACAAAGATAAACTCTTCAGCCTTCTGTCTTGCAGGTTATTCTCACAGGAATTGTCCTACTGTCGCATAAAGTAGTTTGATGGCACTGTTATTGTTTAGCTGATGGATTACTCAAGAGCCAAATCTGCTCTGCAAGATGAAGTATTTTCAGCATAACCTAGATTTATATTTACCAGTACAGAAGATCACAGTGTTGTGTCACAGTAATAGGGAAAGGGCAAGAAATGTTTTCTATAGCTGGGGAAAGTTCCCTCACACCTGTGCTTACTCCAAGTTTCACTTTTACATTTGTAAGGAAAATAAGATCAGCCAAACTTGTGCTTTCTAAGAGAAAAAAAATCACTTTGGAGGGTCAGTCTAAGGTGGAAAATGAATGGCAGCGAGATCACTGACCTAATTTTGGATCTTGTACAGTTACACAATACAGTGCTTTTTGGTAAACTGCCAAGTCTCTTAATGCCAGGATATACTGAAATACAAAGGAAAATCCCAGATGTTCAAATGTCCCATGAAAGCTAGGACATAGATGCATGAGGCAGAGGGTTATGCTTCTCTTTTCAGCACCTTCTTTCCCAATCCCTGCTGATACCCAGTTGCTTGGTATACTTAAAGAAATGTCTCTGTATGGTGAAAAGCAATAATATTGCATCTGTTCTTGTATGCCCTTTCTTCTGGTGGGTTTTGCCTGAGAGAGCTTGTTTTCCTTTGTTCCTTTCATTCTCTCAGAACTAAATATTGGAAAGTAAATATGGCCTACCATAAGACATAAATATTTAAATATATGTCAAAGTAACCTAGATGATTATAAAATGAAATAACTGAACTTCACACTTAATTTTTGGGGGGAAAAAAGAAAAAGAAAAAAAAGGTGGGTTTTAACCAAACTGGCAAGCATGGGTTTCTGCTTGAAGGCTGGAGTATTCTGTCTTATTTTTGAGGATTATGCTAAATGATGGGCTATCCAGACTTATCTTCAAGCTAACACACTTAACTGCTGCCTTAGCATCAGGACACAGATGGATGGGAAAGATGACCCTGACCTCCATAAGACCCACATTCCTGTGCAAGGATAGAAGCATGATAATCAGGAAATGATGGTAATTAGTTACAGAAAATGCATTATTGTGAAAACCAGGAGAAAAGTGCTTATGAGAGGAAGTGATTGGATTATGGGGGAATGAGAGAATAAGACTAGGTCATTTCTACTGAGTAAATTGCTGTGATTTATAAGAGAAAGGGTATAGTGATATCATGGCCTCGTATTGACTAGATTCATTTCACAAACAAACCTAAATCAGAATGTGGCAGTTACCACCGAAGCAAACAGAGTTTTTAAAAGATGTTTTTTTTGTGAGATGTGGGACATGTTAGACATATTTTTTTTTCTAATTTTCTTTCTAATTGTACAGGTAATTTCAGAAAATATTGCTAAATTTCGGTAGCTTTCAGTTAATGTCTGATATTGTACTTTTCATGATGAAAATAAACCAGGTATTAACGCTTACGTATATTTTAGATAAGTATCTTAAATACAGCATACTGAATTAGAATTTTCTTGCAAAGATCTAAAAATGTATCAAATATAAACTGCATGTGGAAATTATCCATATCAATAACTTCAGGTTGGATAATTTGTAGATAAGATTATGCTTTAAAATTTTTTCACACCATCACTGTCTAATGAGTAATTAGTATTTTTTCTAGCATGCAGAAAACCTTGTGTTTTCACAATTTCTTGTTCTTTGAATGATTCGTTTGACATGTATTATTGATACATTATGCTTGTCTATTTGTCCAAATCATTTTATATGTATTTTGCTTGTGTCATGTAAAATGCATACAAATAACTTGTATTTAAAAACCCTATAATTTCAATTTAAGATGAGGTTGTTGGCAGTTCATACTCTAGAGAAGTTGTAGTAGTTGCAGTGAAAGATGTGTTTCTAAAACCCACTGTATGCTTTATATATGAGAAAGAATAAAAAATTATAATTATTTAAGCAGTGCATAATGGTAAATGTGTGAAAAAGGTTTGGTTTGTTTTTTTTTTTTAATTGAAAAACTGGCCACTAAAATTCCTGGGTTATTTATTGTGAACTTCTTTGGCCATGATTCACATACATATTTTTTTTTCTACAGCTCCAGATGGTCCTCCAGAAGATGTGACTGTCTCAGCTACATCTCCTCACAGTATTAATATCAGCTGGAGTGAACCTGTCATCATTACTGGACCAACATGCTACCTCATAGACATTACCTCAGTAAGGCAACTCTTTTTTATTGTTGGTAGTAACACAGAAGTTTGGTGATATGAATACCACAGCAGATGTTCTTATAGAAATTACAGGACAGACATAAACTGGATTGAAAAACAATGACTGTGTCTATTTCCACATAGACTCCACCTAAGTATTAATTGTACATATATAAATTTCTTAATGGGAGATAAATTAATTACTTGGTATTAAAAAAAAGTGTGGTAATAAGAGGTCTTGGAGAAAGAAAAGTGTAGATATAAATATATACAGGAAAACAGTAGCTGCGCTATGAGGAGGTGTACCTCCTTTTAACAGTAATGCTGCTGTTTACCAGTAAAAATAATAATGACTTTGTTTTTCTTCAGAGGAAGGAAAAGTTTATTGCCATGATTTTACAAATGAGAGCTGAGAGCCTAGCAGAAGTGACTTGTACAAAGTTACACAGCGCATCAGAGGGCAAACGAGAGTCAAACTAGATTTCCCACTTTCCACTTGGTGCTCTGTCCATCAGATTAGCTGTATTTTGGTAGCACAGCAATAACAGTTCTTTCTCCTTGATCTTTATAAGCAAAAAAAAAGCTGACATAAGAGAAAAGCTCTAGTGGCCTTTCTCTTTTCATCCTCTACTACCCTTATAATACTTCTTAAAACAACCATTAATAAACCTCATTTCCTGCCCTTTGGCAAGACATGAAACTTTCTAAATTCGAACACATGAGAAGTTTTATGTAGGATATAGGCTCCCTGTTCTTCCAGAAATTATGCAGTCAGGGCTATCAGTGAAAATGGTAAGCAGTTTACCAGACTTTACCAAGGAAAGCTTGCTGTTTGCAGCTTCAAAAATCCTGAATCAGTCCCTTAGATAATAGGGAAACAAAATTAAAGACTACTTCAAACTATTTAAAGGCTTTAAATAGGACGTTCTTTCAATTTTCTGAGAAGGAAGTAAGACTATTATGTGTATATTTTCAATGTTTCTGAATCAGTCATGAGAATTACAGTTATGCTAACATATTAATGCTCAGATTTTTCTGCAATCAAAATTTCTGAGATCGGTAAAAAAATACCAAATATTTTTAAGCTGCTCAGTAAAGTTACAAGAGAGAGCAATGTGCAGTCCTGCTATTTTCTCATCCTCTAACTTCATTGTGAAATATATAAAGTGCAATCTGTTCAGTTGTGAATACACTTACCACAGTAGTAATATGACAGGATGAACTATGTACAATAACAAGGGGAATACTGACAGGGAGGGAATGGTTCCTTGGCCCATTAGATAGGTCACTAGAAACTACATACTTTTTTCTCATGAACAGCTTGTGTCACTTTTGAATAAATAGCATTATAGTGCATTAACAGAAAAAATTATTTTCATGCTTTTGATAAAACTTCCACATTCAGTTTTCGAAGCTTGATTTGTTTTGTGTGTAATACTTAATCAATTTTTATTTAAACAACTTCTCCTCTGTTTGATAATTCCTAAATTATGAACAGGGTGTCGTCTGATTCTACACTATGAAAATGTTGTAAATGCCTTATCAAGTTATGGTAAAATACCTAGAGTAAGATGAACTATGGAATATTACACATGAGCCTGTCACCATTTGGAATGATCTTAAAAACTTAGTTTAAATGTTCAGTTTGGAGGGCTTTGGTTTTGTTTTTTTCAAATATATTTCAGATATCTAGCTTTATGTTAAGGAATTCCTTGTAATCAGATGTTGTCTGTATAATGATCAGTAACTACAGGTGTAAGTTCTGTAGACAATCATCTTACTAGACAAATCTATTCCTTCTTAAAGGCCAATAAAGCTGTCACAATATTTTTCAGTGAAAATTTTAGTATGAATTTTATTGTCCCAGTGGGAAAATTTTTATGAAGAGTCCAAATTCCACAAGCTTCCTGTGTGTATAACTTTATTCATTTTAGTTATCAAATGAGTATCTTTAATGATTTATAAAAAAATAGGCTCACAGAACAGAGTAATTTCAGATTTATACTCTGGGATGTCTTTATTCTTAAAAGGTAGTAACTAGTATTTGTTAGTGAATGTATAAGGATTCTGTTTAAAATGCTAGTATGTTCTTTGCAGTTTTATGGATCAGAAAAACTAAAAAGTTCTCCCTCATTATTATTCCTCCAGGTCATATTTTCATTTGTCTTGCTGCCTACTATAATTAGAAGTAGTCCTGAATAAAATATTACAGAAAATAAGTAAAGAAGATGGAACTGAACCATTAAACTTCAGAAAGACTAGAAGTAAATTAATGATGTAGTGCTGTGATTGTTTTTTAGCTCTTGGATAAACATTTATATGCCAGATTTTTGATAGTCAGATAGGAAAAAGTGTTTCAGTTCTTGATGGCCATTGCAGGAAATGAATGTCTGTTTAGTCCATCAGAAAGTTTAGTTCAGGTTAATTCACAGTGGGAATAGATGCATATCTGTCAAATAAAAGGTATGCTTGAACTATTCTAATGTTTTAGCAGCTGCATTTAATACAGATTTCATCCAGTGGGAAAACTACTGTACAGCTACCTAATCCTCTTTCCAGATTACACACTGAGGAAACAATAATGAAAACATCATTAACTGAAGTAATGGGAATAGACATAAAAATAATTTTGTAAATGATACTTGATCAAACACTAGAAAAGCTCCCATTTTTTCCTTTTTCTCCTTTTGTAAGCTAAGATTAGAAGTGATTAATTGGATATATAGCCCAACACTGTAGATTTTTCTACAGAACTACAGATTATTGGAGATGTAGGGATCATAGGGATCCCAAGAAGTAGTCAAGTCTATATCCTGCTTGAACAGAGAAACAAGTGTACCTAAAGTCTTCCTCACAAATAATTCATTATCCTGTTCTTTAAAATGTCCAGTGCTGAAAGTTGCTCAGCAGCCCTCAATAAATTGTTCTAGCTTTTAACTTAACTAGTCATAGTTTTAGTTACATATGTAGGTATATAAGTGCAGTTTTTGTAGTATTTATTTCTTTTTCTTTTTTGGTGCAAATAAAATTTTTATTTTTTTTTGTGAACACTAGAAAAAAATTGATTATCTTCAATAACATCCTTTTTTTGTATTTTGAAGTTATTACTAAGTCTTCTACCATACTCCCTTTTCTAGATTGAACCCAAATTATTTCTGCTTTCTAGCTTTTCTAGTGAGAGAATTACTCCCTCCCCACTGTCTTATGAGTAGTGCTATTCATACCATCCCAAGAGGAACTGCACTTTCTGCACTCATATCAACATTATATATTGCTGACAAATTTTCTTTTTGCTTTTCTATTCCAAACTATTTTCTGCTGTATAACTGCTCCTCTTCTGGATCTCTGCCTAGTTTGATTCCCATTTCAGGTCACTACATATCCCCTGTCCCTGTGTCTACCAATCAGTTCCTGTTTGTTCAGCAAAGCAAACAGCCCATTTCCTTAATTCCATACTACGTGAAGTGCTAAAGAGGCAACACATGGGTGAGATGGGAGCATACTCCCCTGTGCAGCTTTCTAGGCTTGGTAGCTAGAGACTTCTTGTGAACCCTTCTATGTAAATCATTAGGAAAGTGGAAAGGTAAAAGTTAAATAAGGTGTTCAAATAGTAATGTCCTTCTTTTGGCTGTTTCAAGTCTTGTAATCTCTTTTTTAAAATTATTATTATTATTTTACAGGTAGATAATGACAATTATAAAGCTCAATTTCTGAAGACAAATGATGAGGTTAAAGTCTTAGAAATTTCTGATTTAAAAGCATTTACAAGGTATTCTGTAGCAATCATTGCCTTTACGGGGGATGTTAATGCTGCATACCTTGAAGGCAAGGCTAGTTCTCCAGTAATTGTCTCCACTTTTGAAGCAGGTTTGTATTTTTCTCTACTTTATATGGATCAAACTTTGCAGTTTTCCTTTGATCTGACAAGTAAATGAGAGTTTTGAACACATGGTGCACTTTTAATGCAGATTTGTTTCACAATATTCTTTCTTTAATATTTAAAAAGATGACAGTCAACAAAAAATGATGGTGATAATAAATACTAAGATTTACCTTTAGTAATGCAGAGATCTTGCTTCATGTAAAATATGGGTGTTTGGAACACAGACTTCTAGATTACTTCTGTCATTGTTGAAGAGAGGTCCTATCTATATTAGCATATATTGTGTAACATACCTGTCTTAGGAAGTGATGAGTCTCCCCTGTGGAGGTGCCTGCTTCCCTTAAGAGACTACTGAAAACTCTATACAGCATCCTTGGTCTTGATGTAAAACACATAAAGATTAAGTGAATCCTACCATTTGTGAATGATGCCTATACTGACTTGAGGATACACTCTGTGTATTCTCAGTGGAAGGAGGTTGCTAGTGAAGGCCTACAGGGATCTGTGCTTGAGTCAGCTGTTCCACGGATTCAAAACAACCTGGAGAATGATGTAGATACTAAGGTGACAAAAGTTGCTGATGCTATTAAGCTACTCAGAGAAATAAAACTGAGAGTGAGGAACTGTGTAAGGACCTCATGACACTGAGAGGCTACGTTACAGAAAAATAGATAGCACTTGCTTAGGAAAATACAAACAGAGGTACATGGGGAAGACAGTCCTAGCTTTGCATACATAGTTCCTGGTTATACTCTTTCTACTATCTTTGCTGGGTTTGAATTGTTCACTAAGGATATTTAAACAAACAAACAAACAAACCAGCAAAAAATATTTTCTGAAAATACACTGAAGCTTTGTTTCATTCAAACTAATTATCAACTGTGTATAAACTACAACTACAACTGCCTTCTCTCTAGTGAGGTTAGCTGCAGGTCAGCTTTTTTAGCTGTATACTCAGATTAATGTCAGATTTAGACACACTACACAGTGATTGTATTAAACATGTATCTTTCCTTTGATGTATGAAAATCCACTGTCCCTAGTGATATGATATGATATATGAGTGTGTATGTATATCTCTTCCTAACGCCTTTAATACATGAAATTCTAAGGTTTTCATGATCTGTTCATATCCATGGAGGGTGATATGGTCTTTTACTGTGGAAAAACAAATGAAAATTAAATTAGGTGATAGCTGGGTCTGTCCTGTGAGTGCTCTTTTTTGGTAGCCCTTTCTCTTATGTAAAAATGTGATATATTAGGAGGTGTAGCAACCTTAGAGAAGAACAATTTTTTTTTTCCATATCATCTTGTCTCATCTGGTTTCTACAGTCTAGCATATATGTGAGTATCTGAGAAGTTAGGACCAATTTGCATAGACTTACTCCAGAGAAGCCTGAGTAACGATTTTTTGTCTGGTGTAAAAAAACTGGAAGGTATGACAACTGCATCTAAATCCTTGGCTGAGGGAATGTGTTTACCTTCAGTTGCTTGATTTCACTATTCAGAGGTCATGCTACATATTTGTCTACTCAGGTAGAGCCATAAATATTGAGCTGCCTGAAAAGAATGTTACAGTCTTTTATTTCACATAGGGACATTGGGAAAATGATTTATACCTTTGCTGTCTTGAGACCAAGCTACTGGAATAAGCGTTTGACAAAAAAAAAATGTCTTTGGGAAAAATGCGTGTTGTGTTTGTGTCTGGGCTAGAGGAGAGTTTTTACCTAAAGAGTTAGCTGTGAAAGCAGAGACTCTAGGAGCACGGTGGCTTGTTTATATGTTGGGAGGGAGCTTGCTGTTGACAGAGGGCTTTCAGAAAGGGATACTCAAGACTAACACTTGCTTCTTGCTTGTCAGCCCAGGCAAGGATTTGTTTATCCCAGATGTATTTCAGGGCATAATGATGCCTTCAGGCTTTCTGAGTAGCAAATCAGAAGAAATTTTCCCGAGTAGAGACTACTGACAGTTATCTAATCATTTTTAATATGTGTAGCAATAAATGCTATCATTGAGGATAGTATTTCACTAAATATTTAACTTCTAATTTCTTTCTAAATATTTACATATGCAATAAGTATTTGAGATGCTTTTAATAAAAACACAAAATACCAATGAAATAATACTGATGTGCAAAAATATAATTTGTAATCTTTCAGGTTTTACTCTAATAGTAATAGTAGGAAACTAAGTGGATCATTGAAATATTTCTTTCAGTGCCTGAAGACCCACCTAACAACATAACATTTCAGAAGATACCAGACGAAGTAACAAAGTTCCAAGTAACATTTGTGCCACCATCTGAACCAAATGGAAATATTCAGGTGTATCAAGCTATGGTGTACAATGAAGATGACCCCGCTGCCATCCAGATCCACAACCTTAGCGTCATTGACAAAACAGATCAGTCAGTCACTGCCATGATAGAAGGACTAAAAGGAGGACATACGTATAATGTCAGCGTAAGAACTGATACTTTTTCTCTTTTTCTTTGGTATGAGCAAGAGATTAGTCTGAGCAGGGAACACAAACCTAGGCTGTGTATGAGATTTTCATGTCGAGAATGTTATCTGGGGTGTGAAGAGAGACAAGTCTGAGGACGAGGGGAGTAACGAAGAGGTTGGAGTGAGTGGGAGCAGGACACATCACTAGTGGTTAGCTTTGTACTCTGAAGCTCTGGTTCATGTGCTAGCAAAGCAGCTAAATCTCTCTCTTAATTCCGCCACTTGCGTTGCTAATTTGGCTCAGATTAAAGTTCCAGTTCTGCAGGGGGAGCTTGCTAGAAGTATGTGCATGAAGTCCTTTCAAACAATCAGAGACTAGGACATGAGAGGAGGCAACATAACTGTTTAAGTGGGCTTGTTTTTTCTTCTTTTTATAAGAGCTACATTACAAGTGATGAAGTATTACAGTTTTTAATTACAATTTACAGAATTGTAAAGCAATATGAAGTAAGTTCTAGCAAAGTGTAGGGGACAAAAGAAGTGTTTCCGCATTCATTGTTGTTTCATATATCCAGATTTGTCCAATTTGAAACTATTACAGATACTCATTAAAACAAGTGTTTGTTTTTTTAAGGTGTATGCAATTAATGGTGCTGGTGCAGGGCCAAAAATTCAATTGAAAATAACCATGGATATCAAAGGTATGTCTCATAAAGTGCCCTTTAGCTGAAATCTCTATAAATGGTGAAGAAATTGCTGTTCTACCTGTGAGTACACAGCTGTGTGCCTTTGTCTATTATTTAGAGGCCCATAGTATAGAAACAGGAGCACATAACTGATAGTCTTGAATTGCAGTGCTCAGTTTTGCTGTGTATCACTGGTCATTTGCTATTCATATCTGACTGATAACTGTAAACCATGTGCAGACTCAATGAACTAAACATATTTTGATAATATGAAATAATTCATATAATGAAATAATAATTTCAGTATTTTAGTTACCATCTTGAGAGCAGCCCTGCAGAGAAGGACTTGGGGGTCCTGAAGGAGGAGAAGCTGGACATGAGCCAGCAGTGTGCGCTTGCAGCCCAGAAGACCAACTATGTCCTGGGCTGCATTAAAAAAGGGGTGGCCACCAGGGAGAGGGAGGTGATTGTGCCCCTCTACTCTGCTCTTGTGAGGCCCCATCTGCAGTACTGTGTCCAGGCCTGGGGCCCCCAGCACAAGAAAGGCGTGGAGCTCTTGGAACGAGTCCAGAGGAGGGCCACAAAGATGATAAGAGGGCTGGAGTACCTCTCCTATGAAGAAAGGTTGAGGGAACTGGGCTTGTTTAGCTTGGAGAAGAGAAGGCTCCAGGGAGACCTCATTGCAGCCTTCCAGTACTTGAAGGGAGCCTATAAACAGGAGGGGGAGCGACTGTTTACAGGGTTTGATAGTGAGAGAACCAAGGGGAATGGTTTTAAACTAAGAGAGGGGAGATTTAGGTTGGATATTAGGTGGAAATTTTTCACTCAGAGGGTGGTGAGGCACTGGAACAGGTTGCCCAGAGAAGCTGTGGATGCCCCATCCCTGGAGGTGTTCAAGGCCAGGCTGGATGGGGCCCTGGGCAGCCTGCTCTAGTGGTTGGCAACCCTGCCCACAGCAGGGGGGTTGAAACCAGATGATCTTTAAGGTCCTATTCAACCCAGGACATTCTATGATTCTATGATTAGCGAACAGCTTAGAAGAATGTCACAGAGGTGTACCTAAGTATACAGTATCACAGTTGTGGAAATAAATGCAATCATTGATTGAAAGTCATTGAAAAACTAAGACTAAGTCTTTTTATTGTTTTCTCTTTTTATATGCAGAGGCATTTATCAGAATAGAATTTTTAGAGGCTTAAGGGATTAAGCAGAACTTTAAATTGTCCCGGGAAGTATGCTGAAGATTTGTCTTGCATCATACAGCTTTGTGCCTGAACAAAGTACTTGTAGGAAAAACATTTTAAAACAAAATTCTGTGCTGTATCTTTGTTTAAACACAGAACCACCACGGCCTAAAAAGAAACCAGCACCAGTTTATGATACTAATGGGGCATTGCTTGTCACAGATACAACAATTACGATCAGAATGCCGATATGTTATTACAGTGATGATCATGGCCCTATCAAGAAGATACAAGTTCTTGTTGTGGAAGCCGGAGGTAGAATTTTAGAAGTTCACTTGAAAACTATTTTCTTTTTTTTTTTTTTTTTTAATTTATTTGCAGGCTGTTTGTCTTTTTTCTTTCTTTTCTTGGGTCTCAGTAGTTTCACATTAGAAAACATCTAACAAAGTCACTTTAGCTGTGGCAACAATACTAAGAGAAAAGTACCTTTCACAGTACCTGGGGGCTGCAGACTGGATTTTGAGAACATTCGTCCACGGAGAGTCGTCCATGCTGTTTGAAGTAACAAATATTATTCTGGCCTTATTGTTACTGTTGTGTTTTCTTTACTTCCTATTTCCTTGAAAAAAAATACATTTGAAATACATTTGAAAGGTAAATAAATCTGAAACATTTTTTGCAAGGTTTTTCTTCTGTTGCTATTAGTGTTGCTTGTAAAAGAATGCAGTCATGTGCAGTTGTATTTTCATTTCATAGCGGGGGCAGAGGGATTTGTATAAATCCCTGCTGTAGACTGTGGGTTAGAATGTATATTTCCTTGTATGGACTGATGAACATTTACTCATATGAACAGTGCCATGATACTCTTTTGAGTAATGGCCTACCAATGTGAGTGGGAGTTTCATGATAGGACATCATATGGTCAGGCTTACTTTACCTAAGAAGGACAAATTTCAGGTATTTAATTCCCTTGTTTAGCTTTCTTTCAAAGTATAAAAGTAAAGCATGAATTCGCATGGAGTCTCTCTCCTGTTTCTGAATTTTGCATTTTAACACTAATTCTGTAGAACTTCATAGCTGTTGCTGTGAAGATTCTCTTGAACTGATAGATATGCAAATACCATGTTAAGCAACATTTTGAAGATTTTCCCCCTGAGCTGCTGGATACTGTCCACTTACAAAAATGTAGCAATTTCATTTATGAAACAGTCTTTACTGTCTTTAGAGTAAACACTTTTTACTCCTTTTGCTGGCCATGCTCAGTTTCAAAGTCAAGTGGCTTGAACAAGTGATATTCTCTTACTGGCAGAGCTCACGTGTGAGACTGCCCCTGAAATTTTCTAGTTGTGATTCAGTTGACTTACTCTGAGTTAGCAAAATATTGACAGTGTGGATAATACGGAAATTTGGGTTTAAGTGCAAATAGTTATAGACTTAGCTGTGTAAATGGCACTGATAGCACGGTAAGCTCTTAAAAAATATTTTCCTGTTTAACTTCTTTAATTACAGTCTGATTAGAATGTACATTGTTTCTGATTATTTCATTTCTTGATGATAGCTCAGCATGATGGGAATGTTACTAAGTGGTATGATGCCTACTTCAACAGACCGAGGCCATATTTTACAAACGAAGGTTTTCCAAACCCACTATGTGTAGAAGGAAAAGAAGATCTGAGTGGCAAAGAAGAGATATATGTCATAGGTGCTGATACTACATGTATGGTACCAGGCAGTCAAGACAAAATATGTAATGGCCCACTGAAACCAAAAAAGCAGTACCTGTAAGTACATTTGTCTCTAAGTTTGTCCAAAAGAAAGATTTAAGCGAAAAATACATTTATGCAAACATACAAAATAAGTAGTTCAGTTATGAAAAGGTAGAGATTGAAATTATTATCCTGTGTCTAACTCATCTCTAATTTTAAATTTTTTTGACTGAGCACGAGTATGGGAGGCAATTTTTTTAAGTGTTTCAGGTAACAAAAGACGCTTACTGAGTTCTTAAATTAAATAAGGCCAAATTCAAGATAAGTAGTTCATGTAGTTTGTTGATACATTTAAGATATTGACACCGAGTCCTTGATGTCTGTCATAATATAACTTTAGCAAGTGAATGATTCCAGCTATATTATACTAAAGCTAAGAAATAATTTTTAAATTCTAAGTGAAATAATATTTAAGAAAATGCATGTAAGCTTTTATTTCATTAGTTTTCTTGGGTTTATTTCACAGATTTAAGTTCAGAGCAACTAACATTAAAGGACAGTTTACAGATTCTGACTATTCTGACCCTGTCAAAACACTAGGTAAGGAGAGTGTCATTTACTAAAGTATTTTTCTATTTCCAAAGGTTCTAGACGATTCCATTTTTCTTTTTAGTAGAATGTTTTCCCTGAAGTAAATACTCTCTGTTTTTGTTGGACCTAGCTTAACCAGAATGGCTGAGGAAACATATCCATTCCATTGTATGTCCTTTGGAGGTTGTCAAGAGGTCTTACCTCAGCCTGGACTGTTAAATGAAGAAGGAGTATTGACAAAGTTCATTAGCAGAGATTCAGTTATACCCATAAAAAGACCATTTTGCCAGGATAGCTCATCTTGCTTGGTGAACTGCCAGAAGCTAAACTGTGCAGTTTCCCCTCTGTGTTGGATGTAGAACTATTCCAGTGAGTCTAGTGTAGGAAACCTCTTGGCTGCAGATCATCATTCCTTCTGGTGACAGCTCATCTGAGGACATGACCCTTTAGCCCTTCATCCTTTAGATACAGACAAAGGTCCCTATTAATTAATAAATTAATATTGTCTCATAGAATCCATCTGGTTCTGATGTCACTGGCCAGTAAGCCAGCTGTTATGGGGTCTCAAATCCAGCATAAATTCCTCCATTGCAGTGTTGATCTACCCCCAAAATTGGGAATGAAAGTTCTTGTAGCAGATCGCAATAAGATCTGTAAGTTCATTTAATATGTTGGTAAGCCAAAACTTACTTAGCTAAGCGTTAGCCCTGACTTTCTGAAAAGGGATCGCAAGACAACTGGGTGAGTACCCAGAAGAATTTTAGTGGGCGCATATTTTTCATTTGGCATTCGTCTTCTGTGATATGACCTCCCTTATACATCTAATCCATGTTAGAAATTTGTTACATGATCTGGTACTGAAGATCCTAAAATGCTAATTCACTACCTGGATATTCTAAAAGGATCTGGCACTATTTCTCTAGCCCTGACTGTTTTGGAAACTGCAACACAAAAGTTGTCTTTATGTGTTCTGAGTTTAAAGTTCTAAGCAAATGAAGCAAATAGTTTGCCCAGTAAGTGAAAACAAGTCTCCTGGAAATGAGTCCAGCTGTATCCAGTCCTCTGGGCAACTTTCTCCTTTCTAACAGAAAAGTCTGCCATGCTTAAAGAAATCATGCTTTAGTGGCAGGCAGATAGTGTAATTTGTTTGCTTCTGTGTTGTTACCAAAAACTTGTGACATATTCTCCTTTGATGTAGGTCATAAAGAAGCAAGATCTATTTGTATGCTGAATAAAATTTAAGAGGAAAAAAATAGAACTGATAAATTCCTCAGATATCCGTGGCTTCTCATACCCATCCAGTGCCTTCTATGCTAAAGTTTAACATCAAACCCTGCTTTTCAAAAGGGCACTACAGCAAACTCTTGACTGGCCTTAATTTCTAAATTTCAGAACCTATCCAATAAGAAGCAGAATTTAAGTGGAACAGATAATTAAAAGTTCCTACTCTGCTTTCCTACAAGTGTTGTGCAATCAACATCAAATTGATATCTCACAAGTGATGCAGGTACTGCAGTTAAGTGGCCTTGAGGAAACAGCACTGGCAATGACATCGCCAGTGCCGTCTTAAATGACTAAAGGAAGTTAGATTTTTTTCAGACACATTTTCTCTTGAGTCACATAACCTGAGGAACCTTGCCCAAGTGTTTCATTATAGAACATGCTTTGGTTATGTGAACTTCAGACTTGCTCTAGGAGAATAACCCAGAAAATAGAACAGAAAGATAAGTAGCTGTTAGGTATCTCTGTGACCAGTTACTTCTGTTCCACTCGTAGCCATAGCATCTTTAAGAAGAAATTTATGTTGCCTGAAATCAGAATTGCAATTTAATTTTAAATCAATTATCTTCTTTAATAAAAATTTGTGTTTTTCCAGCATTACACTTTAATTTTAGTAGATACACTAATTTGAATTTTAGCAGAAGGATTCATGACAGTTCAAAGAACCCAACATTACTTTGGTTTCTGAGTCTACTTATAGAGTAGGTAGGTCTTTGATCTGGAAAAACAGAAAGTTAACCTTGTATCTGTGTGATTTAGTACTGCATGTTAAATATGTTTGAAGCAGAAAAAAATATGGAAAACTTATGAGAGAGTTCTCTGTGACAGATGTCAGATGCTCTTGTTAAATAGTAGGGATCTTGCTAGGGAAGAGCACTGAAACAGAATTTATTGGAATACACAGCTGCAATAATGCTTTTTTAATTATAGTAAAGTATACCTTTTAATATGGTGCTCCCACTCAACCATACTTGGAGTACCACAACTCTCCTCTTGAGCTGGAGAAGTGGAGTTTCCTCCTCCTAACCCATGGTTGACATTGCAAAACTAACACCCATGCTACATTGAAAGGTCAGGATTATTTCCATGAGATAATTAAGATTTAGTGCCAAATACTGTTTAAACTTCTAATACATCAAGGCAGCTTATAACCTTTTCATAAATTGATAGCTAGTTCAGCAAATCATTGCAGGGCAGCTGGTGGTCCTATGTAAGTGTAGACTTTTTCCATGTGAAATACAAAGCTGATGAGACAGGAAATAATCAAAATGGGGTTTCTTGACACTGCCTTTTGCATAGAAACCTACCTTATGATGTTGTGTTATTGCAGTTTGTTATCATCATGTATTGAGTTACAGCACCTCAGAATTATACAACATGATGTCTTCTGTTTTTTCTCCTTTCCCATGATCATCTCTACAAACATGTGTAGTCCTTCCTTGTTGCAAAGAAGTAGGAGAAAATGTATTTTTTAATTCTTGGTGGGTATTCTGCCAGAACTGTTTTGTTTAATAACATCAGCAATGTTTAAACTGACGTTAACCATAGGGTTTAACATTGACTTCACTGTTTAGTGAAAAATAGGTAGAACTGTTGTAGAGGTTCCTCTGGAGATTCTTCTGTTCTTTTTCCACATTACTATCATTTGTGCCTTATCACAAAGATCGGTGAGTGACAGTGACCTTTTCATTCCTTTCCTCCTTGCAGTATTTTTTTTTATACTTGCTTTTCTTTTCTATTGTCTTTCCCTGGCCTAAATTGTTCTTACCTTGCAGTGTCCAGTGTTGCATCTGAAACTTTGCTAATGCAGTGGAAGAATTATTTCAGGTGTTTTGTAAATAATACTTAATTCTGTTGTCTGTTGTTTCATACAGGCATGATATTGCTTATTCACATTGGTTTCAGTCTACAGTATTCTCACACTTTCTTCTGAGAAATTTCTACCTAACCTACTCTTTGCTATGCTATATTATAGTAGCTGATTATTCCTGCCTACATGTAGAAACATGAACTTGATCTTGCAAAATTGCATCCTACTGTTTTAAGGCTATTTCTTCAGATAAATCAGGGTCATTTGGAATTTTAATCATGTTCACCAAGGTGCATGCAGTCCATATCATGTCCAATATGCTCTCTAATCCTAAAACCAGAGCCTTCTGACAGAAACAAAGCCAGGACTTCAGTGTTTGCCAGTGTGTCCTTGGGAGGAGGTCGTCCCTTGAGTGGGAATCTCAGTTTCAGCATAGCAGGAAGCAGTACATTTTTCTGTCCTTCCTGGAGGCTGGACAGGAGCTAGGTTTTCTGCAGTGGATCAGCAAGTGGAGGTGAATGTCAGCATAGCTGAACAATACCAGCAGTAATAATCCCTTGCTTTTCTTATTTTCACTCTGTGCCTAAGGAAAAAAGAGGCTGAGGTTTTTGAGACAGGAATAGGATTACCAGGAAGGGTGGGAAATTAAGTGAGTCTCAGAAATTTAGCACCAAAGAGATACAAAAAGAGTTCTACAAACTACTAATCTAAATGGTTTTTCAGTCTCTGAATGACCCTTCATTCTCACCTGGGAGGACTGAGTAGAATACCGTCACTGTTACCTGTTTATCATAAAGACTTTCATGATTACTTTTGACCTGCTGGTTTTGTATTCCTAACAATATCACCAATACCAACATAAATGAAGAGTATGAGTTAATGGTCAGTGGGGCAAATTAATCCAGAAAGCTCAGAGCCGATCACTAGGTGGGTTCCTTCAGCACCCTGAGGAGAGTATCTCCAAAAAAGCATCTTTTATTTTGTGCTTGTGAGTGATGGCTGCAAGCCTCATAGCTTTAGAGTTGTGGTCTTCCTTTTCCACTTCTGGAGTTTGATTGCTTCTACCTGATAGAGCAGTGTGTCTGTTCGTGGCTGCACAGAGACTGAAGCAGGAGCTCAGCTCAGGCAAGTGTTCAGACTGATGTTACTGCAGTGTAGGCCTATCTTAACCTCCAGGTAAAACTGAAAAGCACCGGGAGATGGCTTCACATATAGCTGTAGACAAATCCTATTAGCATTATGTATTACATAGATCAGCAGTGCTTAGGAACCTTTACGTAAATTGTTTCTGGTTTTGTTATATTTTTCTTTCCTGAGCAGCTCTTCAACTGACACAAAACAGGTGCAGTTGTACAGAAAGAGAAGTGTCTGTCTCTAATTGCTCCCTGATTTCACCCCATCAGAAATGTAAAAATTGCAATGAATCTATGAAATACTAGATTTCCACTTTCTGTTTCAGGTGAAGGACTGTCAGGAAGATCTGTGGAAGTTATCCTTGCTGTTACTTTGTGTGTACTTTCAGTTGTTCTTCTGGTGGCAGCAGTATATGCGTTTGCACGGTGAGATTTATGGATCCTTCCCATACCATGTTTACAAGCACTCAAAAATATATTAAAGAAGAGTTGAAACAGACCTATAAATGGAACCAATCTGTCATTTCAAAATGTATTACATTTTCTTTTTTTTTTTTTTTTTTTGTCTTTTCTGTAGAAACTTAGGGAGGAACTTGCAAAGGCTTTAGTCTAGTGAGGCTAACCTCCATAGATGAAGGAGAAATAACTGCTTCTCCAGAGGGTAAATTATAGCAGTACCCTATCAGAGCTACTTCTCTATTGTCTTGAGGATGCGTATCAGTGTCAGCTGGCTAGAGTTAACGTGATGGCTAAGCCTATTGACAGCTTGATCCGAAGTAAATACTCTAAATTCTGTTTTCTGTCTTACTAATAAATTATCAGTTAAATACATTGAAGTCTCACATGTGAAGGAGAGATAGACTTCTAATTCAAATTGTGAACAAAATGTCCGTGTAACGAAGCAGACTGGGTGCTGCAAACATGATATTAGTTTGCTCATTCACCAAAGTTCTGTTCTTCCTCAGCTGCATCATTCAGGCATTGCCGAAGAATTTATGTAGGAAAACTGAAAGAATATATAGGCTAGATTCTTTCCGCATGAATTTTAGACAACATAACTGCTGGATTTGACTGAATTACCCTGTTGGTTAGGGAGAGCAGAATACAGGCCAAGGAAGGATTCCTGGCAATCATTTTTCAGTTTCAGCCTGTCAAATCAAAGTATTGACATATGTGTCTTTAAATCTTTTGCATGGTTATTTTTCACTATTATTCTCTGTTTAGAATTCGGCAAAAGCAAAAAGAGGGAGGCACATACTCCCCACGAGATGCTGAAATTATTGACACGAAGTTCAAACTGGATCAGTTGATCACAGTGGCAGACCTAGAGCTGAAGGATGAGAGATTTACACGGTAAGCATACTCCTTAAGCAAGACAGTAGTCCAAAGGGGCTGTAGCCATGACCCCTTTCTGACCTTTGCTTGTTTGGAAGTGTTTGTGGTGTTCTTATTTACACAGGTCACTGAGATCCTCTTTCAAAGAATGACCTCCATCCTCAAGACACTTCTCACTAGCTTTTAGAAAATCACTTAATCTTCAGCTCTTTTTACAACAAGATAAAGATCTAAGTGCAAATCACTGTTTAATTGTGTTAGAAAAAAAAAGGGCTACATATTTTTAAACATGCAGAATTTCTGAGTTTTTTTGATGGCCCAGTGTTTTGTGTAGACTGCAAACCAACATAAGTGTTCTGAAAGAGTCAAACACCCAGAAGTCCCAGTCAATTAATTCAAGAACAAATCTGTCATTGTTTAACTGACATTTAGAAAGCATTTTTTTCACAAAGGGATTTGTCTAACATCTGAGTTTCTGTGGAGCTCAGCACACTGGCTGTCCTGACACCTACTCCTTTAAGGTGTACACAGCAATTCCAGGCTATTCATATTTTCTGTCTGACAAAGAATAATGCCACAGATATTTATCAGAAGGAGAACTGCTCTTTCTGACTGCCAGAAATATGGATATTATTCACTGAACAAATATAATTATGATTCTCAATAATATATGACATCCAACTGAGTTAGAAATGTTTGGTGAACATTCCTTACCTGCCTGTATTTTCCCTGCTGTGTCACAGATGAAGCACTGTGGTAGGCAGTCTTCTTAAAGATGAGAAGCCTAAAATAGTGTTGCCATAGCAGTCAGGCATCCTACTGTTGTAGACTAGGAATAGCTGGAAGATGAAAGGTTGTAACTGTTGATCTGTTTTGTTTGAGTGTGTGCATGTCTATGTGTGTGGTACAGAGTAAGTTGATTGCGTGTACAAACCTGTTCAAAATAGTGCACAGAGGAATGGCTGCTTGTAACAGATGAGAAAACATCATCTGGAAATCATCGATGTAATGGATGTGTTATGTTCTGTGTGGGGCACATGTCATTCAGACAGCATTGTTTAGTACCTGCTAATAACAGCAGAAGACATTCTCTGAATTCAGAACTATTGCCAGTGCACTGTGATAACTGTGACTCATGTAATGATCTTGATCGATCTTCAAAATGGCCTTGTTTCCAAACTGTTAGCTGAATAACAATAGTTCTATTTTTGTTTATGTACTAAAGTGTTAATGGGTTTTACTTCCAGATACTCTTCATTTTTCTTTAGACGCAAGGAGATATTTGTCATCCAGTAAGTTTTTGTGTTGTTGAAGCAATGTGATGTGTTTTCCATTCTGTTCTCTTAACATGTGTGCTACCTTACTATATTGAATTATATAGTTAATCAAAATGACGTCAATCTCTGCAGCTGTACTAGTGACAAATAGTGGGTTTTTTGTCATCATGAAATCAGGTTTATTTTTAGTCCCTAATGTTAAGGTACAACAGTTCCACAACTACTTTGAAATAAATCAGTGCATTTTTATACATGGAAATTATAACACATTATGACAGTATAGCACTGATACATACAACCTATACTTGAAGCAAATGTAGTGCAAATGTGACATAAGAAACATGCTGTTTCTTTCCTTTGGCAGTTAGAATGTATGTACTTAAGAGAAGTTCTCTGTTTTCTCAACTGCCTTTTGTGCATACTCACACTGCAGCTGTTTTGTACTATGGCACTACAATCTCAGCAATGTATCCACACAGTCAAATCCTTTATTAGTTTGCAGAGCACTATTCTGCCACTTTTCTGTCTAAATTTTGTGTAGTTTAGATTTGTACAGTCTCAAACTCTACAGGGTAATTGCAAACTATAATATTTCGTAATTACATGCACTTCATTATGTGATTTATGCACAGCAAGGCCTTTACTGAACAGTGCTTCAGCGGTTTTAGTTGCATCACCCTTATTTTAATGAGTCAGTCTCACATTTTGGTTTGAAATTTGTCATGTCCTTCCACCTGTATTTTTCTCCTTCCTCCTTCCCCACTCCTTTAATGGCCAAAAGCAAAGACTCTCTTCTTATGCCATTCTTGTAAGGTACTTCATGCAACTGTTAAATTTCTTTTATTATTTTTCAAACAGTAGCGGCACTGAAGCTCCAGCAGGCTCCTTGCCCAGGTCTTTCGTTGAACACTATGACAAACTGTTGAACTGCAGTCGCTGAGACTTCCCCAGGACATTTTAGTGTCTCTAATGCTGTCTTTCATATAGATACATCCTTTCTGGTAATGATGAGTTATATCAAGAAGCTGGCAGAAGCATGGCAGCATGCACCAAGACACCTTACTGCAAAACCTGATGTCTAAGATATTTTTGCTGACTGTTTTCAGACTTCCACAGTTACATCACAAAAGAACTTTTGTACCTGTTGCCTTTAGGGAATAGCTATGTAGAAGTCAATCACAATCCCAGTTCTTGTGTTGTCCTTATCATTCTCATGATTAGTGGTTAAAGCAATGACATGTTAGCATGTTAAATTATTGTATTGTTAATGACTATAGTGTAACCTTCACAAATTTATCATGCATTTGGAATGGGACTGTGCGTCACTCCATCTGCATAGCTTACTGCCATGCGTTGGCTGCATTTAGTCAGCTATCTCAGCTGTGTTTGCAAAGCTTGCTGTGTTGCAGAATGCTGGTTTCAGGTGATGGTATATTGTGATTGCATGAGGAAAACATAGATGGGCAGACTCCTTTTCCAGGCTGGCTTGTTTGTATTTCTTGGATGGCAATAAATCAGCTGAAATCTGGTCCAACTAAGTATACTGTATACCCTGAAAGGGTGATGGGGAGTTTGTGTGAAAATCTTAGGTGATAAAAGAGCAGTATAGATTTTTTCCCTACCTACTAATCATCCCATTCGGTGCTCATTTGAAGGAGATGCTTTGGAAACCAGATGTTTTGTCATTTCTCAGCCAGTGTATTATTTATCATGTTAGCTACTATAAATCAGTAAAGGTATGGACTTGCAGCTGACACAGTTCATCCACAGAATCAAGATACTCTAGCCTGCTTCATGAGTTCCTTCTTGACTGTCTCTCATACATTGTCTCTTCAGACATTCTCTCATACTTAGTGGATCGTGGCCTATGATCTTGGCTCATATTCACTGAAAAATTTGTGCAGCTGGTATCACGTGAGAAATAAAAAGTAGAAAAAGGTTTTTCTGTTCTGTAAGAATATTGCTGGAAATATTTTTATCATTCTTAGCAGATCAAAAATTCAAAAGCTTGAAAAGTTTAACGGATCATAACTCAGCAAGTGTCCAGCATAGGTTAATCAAAACATTTCATTTCACACATTTTTATGACTTTCTTAGTATGAATTCTTTTGCATTACGAAAGTCAGTTTAAGTAGAAAAAACATCAAATTTAAAAGTGCCAAGTATCCAATTTTGCCAATTTTGAAACTTTTTTGGGTCAACATTTTTTTCAAATCATGAAATTCATGGCAAGTACCAGCCATTTTTAACACAATGGTCATCAGAAAAAAATTAACTTGAAGAAAATCTGAAAAAAAGTCTGAAAATTACTAATACTAGCTAGTATATATACACCATCTCTCAGCGAGTCTTTGTAGGCAATTAAATAATGTGATGTAGCTTCAGAGGGCATGCGAGGAATTAAGTCCTACTGAATTCAGTGGAAAAGGATCTGTTTTATGAAGCCAAAATGCTGACTTTGACTGTCTGGGACATATGTTGATCTCCACGATGGTGGAGATGGTATGAGACAGGCAGTAACAGAAAAAAAAAAAAAACCAAAAACAAAAACCAACCCTTGTTTAAAGCATATATAGCCCATCAGTCTAAATTTAATTAAACGTTGGTTCACTAAGCCCACTGAATACACAATGTACTGGGGCCTCTCATCACTTACTTTTTCTAACTTGTCCATAGAGTTTGGCAAGTTACTTTTACAAGCAGACATTCATTTGCTGTGAACAGACTCTGTCACTAAATTTTCAGGGCACATCAGGTTTGACAAGAGACAAGTAATTCTTCCCTGTTCCAAGTGCTCACTTAGGAGACAACTTCTCTGGCACCCTACTTTTGCAGTGGTTTCTGCAGCAAGAATGACATGTAGGTCCCTTTTTCTTAAAATCTTTCCTTGAGAAGTTGCATCTTGTGATGGATGCTTTGAGGCTTTTGTTTCATTCTGTGTGAGACAGCTTGTCAAGCAAATGGGGCACAGATTCAGAAGAAATATTTCAAAATTACAGACACTGTAATGCCGGGTAATTAGAACCCTTTATGGAAAGGTATTGTACATAAAATTATTGTCTGATCTCACCTTTGCTATATATATTGTCCATTCAGTAGGTGTGTGTCTATATTAGAGGAAACACTTCTGCATGCACATTACTTTCTCTAGACCAGCCTGTTTCTTCTTTCTTTGAGTGGGGCTAGGCATGGCTCTTGCCTTGCCTTTTTCTTCAACAAGATTCCCTTTAGTAATCGACTATCAAAGATAGGCTTCCTGAGCTTTGTATCCCAGGAGTACAAGGTTTATGAGTGTACATGTCCTGGTACAATGGAAGAAATTACCATGTGTTCTCTTTCCTTAGGCCTTTAATATTTAGGAAGGGTTAAGCTTCATATGGCTTTCAATTAACTTGCTAAAAATTAGTTCCTCCGTTATTCCTAGGAAGTGTCAATGGTGCTTATGAGTTAAGCCTTTTGCCTACATACTCATTTCTGGTTTTTTCTATTTGAACGAAGTTTTAATTCCCTGTGGATTTCAGTTGATTGACCCAGAGAGAAAGCCGAGTCTGTGTGACAATATGTTCTTCAGTTACCACTGCCAACACAAATAAATGGCTTCTTTCTAGCTCTATCATAAGTAATCTGAGTGGGATTCAGATTTTTGATAGACTTCAAAAAAATCCCACACATGAAACAATACACTGTTTTAGAAGAAAATCAGATTTAAGGCAATAAAGCATTCTTTATCTTAGAGAATGTTTTTCTTTCCTAGTTTCAAAGTCAGACAAGTGGGAATCTGGAATTGTCCAGACGAAATAGGGAAATTTGCAACTTCATGGTTTGATTCTAAGTTGTGCTCATCAAGATCTAGTGATATCTATAATCTTATGTTTTATACAAAAGACTGGAAAATGTGGAGAACAAGATTACAGGTAGGCGAGTATTTGTTCATTGATGAAATACTGTAAAATTATTTTTACATATTCCAAGTCAAGAGACTTGCAAAAAATAATTACTAATTTTTGAAGCCTGAGGATGCTGAAACCGAACATAACTGTAAGTCTTTAGTGAGTATACAAAAGTCATCCCTTCTGAAGATTCTTACACAACAAAGCCAATATTTTTGACACAGTCTTTAAGTTAGACATTCGTTCTCATACAAGCATTTAAATTAAATCATCTTATTATGTATCTTATGTGGTCTATCTCGATTTCAGTAAAGC